AGGTTGATGACAGCCTGAACTACATTGAGCGCCCAGTCGCAATCCTCGACAGGAAGTCGAAGGATTTAAGGAACAAGAGGGTGGAGCTAGTGAAGGTGCAATGGCAGCACCGCAAGGGTTCAGAGTGGACTTGGGAGCCGGTAGACGAGATGATGGAGCACTACCCCGAGCTGTTTCAGGACCAGGCAGCAGACTTCGAGGACGAAGTCTAAAATAAGTGGGGGAGATTTGTAGCACCTGGTTTCCGGTATGTGAATTTTATTTGAGCATTGCCCTAATTTAGCCTTAGACTCGGCGAGTCATAGGGTCCGACTCGCCGAGTAGGGACGAGACTCAGGACACGTTTTAAGTAGGCGACTCGACGAGTCCATATCCTGGACTCGGCGAGTCACCGCTGCGGGATGAAACCCTAAGTTTCAAGGGTTTGCACCCTATTTAAACTCTCATTCCGCCCCAACTCGTCCCCATTCACCCCCAGAACTCCCCCTACATCGTTTTCCCTTGTTTCCTTGAGAGTTTGAGGTGTTCTTGGTGTGTTCTTGAAGGTTTTGAAGAGTAAGAGGAGTAGATCAAGAAGAGGAGAAGGAGATCAGCCATCCTTGTGTCATTTCAACATTTCCTTTGAGGTATAACCCGTTTTCCCCTTGATTCTATGCTTAAAACTTCATTTGGGTCCTTCTTGGTCAATTCCCCAAGTTTGCATGTGCATTATATGTCGTAATAAGGCGTTTGGCCTTTGGATCTATGCAAGATTGAGCTCCAGGAGCTCAGATCTGTTAGCTTTTTGGCCCCATGAGGCTTGTTAGCCCTAGATCTACCCTTTTGAGACATTTTGAGCCTTATAATCCATATTGGTGAATATCCACACGTAAAGTTGGAAACTTTACGTGTGATTCGTGTCCTAGAAGTCCAGATCTATGAATGGCATGGACTGGAACCGAGCAAATCGGTATATTTAAGGAGTGCATGGCGACGACTCGGCGAGTCGCATAGGTGACTCGGCGAGTCTGGTCGCGAGTCACCGATTTGGTCCCTTCTTCATGTGTCGAGTTGTGCCTTGAGTCACAGGGGGTGACTCGGTGAGTTGGGAGCTGAACTCACCCATGTTAGGACTCGGCGAGTCAATGCCCTGACTCGGCGAGTCCAAGGCAATCTTCATAGCTCAAGAACAGACTCGGCGAGTTGTTCATACAACTCGGCGAGTCTTAGCATAAAGTGTTCATCGGATGAAGATGAACTCGACGAGTTGTTCATACAACTCGGCGAGTAGGATGAAGGTGTTGAATGACAGTTAGAAGGTGAACTCGTCGAGTCATAGCCCGACTCGACGAGTAGAACCAGGGACCCAGGACATTGGTTTGCTAGGGACTCGGCGAGTGGTGATCCACTCGGCGAGTCGGGTCAACTGAAAGTTGACTCCAGCTTTGGCTTAGAGCTAATCCAGGGGTAAAATGGTCATTTTACCTAAAGGACAGTTAGCAGTGTTTGATTGAGTATGTCGTGGAAATTGCAGCCGGAGGACTCCCGGAGCAGCAGCAGTCAGTTAGTTCCCGATCAGTTCAGCAGCTACTTTGAGGTGAGTTACCTTCCAGTAGCGGTGGGTCTAAGGCCACAATGCCGACCCACCAGTAGGAGTTGTATGATAGATGATTGTCTTTGTGATATCATCTAAGTTCGCTATTACCTGACATGTTATATGCTAGCATGATATGCTGTATGTGATAGTAGTAGAGTTTGGTTGTTCGGACCGAAGGGTAGTCAGACACCCCAGATACGTCTGACAGTATGTGATGATATGTATGCATGCTGGCTTGTTATGTTATATGTGATCGTAGTAGTAGGGGTGAAATAGTCCCCGAGGATCGGTTGTTAGGACCGATGGGTAGTCAGCACCCCAGAATGGCTTGACACGGGTAAGACGGCACCCCAGAATGGCCGTATGGGTAGGTCGGCACCCCAGAATGGCCGTACCGGGTAGTCAGGCACCCCAGAATAGCCTGGCAGTATATATGTTATGTGTTTGTATGGTATGCGGTACGTTGGGGGAACTCACTAAGCTTTGTGCTTACGTTTACAGTTTTGTTTTCAGGTACCTCTGCATCGAAGGGGAAGGAGCCGGCGCGGTAGCGGCACGTCATACACACACTCTTCGGTTTCCGCATTTATGAGATTTACTGGGATTGTACTCTGATATTTTGATGGGATGTACGGTTTGGCTTTTGAGAACATGGTTGCAATGTGTTATGGTGTGAACAAACAATGTTTCTTTTTATTTAAACAATGTTTTTATTTATTAATGTTTTCTAAAGTAATATCTTAAAAATGAAATTTTCGGACGTAAAAATTGGGTCGTTACAATGTTTATATGTATGTATATCGGGCAGGGCCCGATGACTGACAGATATGTATACCGAGCGAGGACCATTATTTGTTTATTATGTATAGTATGTGGTATTTTGGGTAACTCACTAAGCTTTGTGCTTACGGTTTTAAGTTTATGTTTCAGGTACTTCTTGTTCGAAATGGAAGTGCCCGGGATGATTGTAGTGCACACACCACCTCGTTCCACACTTTTGTGATTACTCTGATGTTTCATGATATATTTGATACACTTTGTTCTATCTTGGTTTTATGATGATGTTTGGATTACAGTTTTGTTAATTTAAATACGAAATTTGTTTGTCTTAATTTTTGGGACGTTACAGTATCTTCCACAACACCCATACCCATTTCTTTTCTTCTCCATACCCCACATGGTGTTCAAGAAAGAAAAAACAATAAAACAAGGGGCTTCCAATTCGTACAAGCCATCCCTACCCTCATGCATCTACCTCACACGTATTTTTACCCCATGCAAAACCTATCAAGCTATCCCCACCCATTTGCCTTTTTAGACGAGATAAAGAAGAAAGATAAGATAAATGATGTTGGTATTTTCTCATTTATACAACAACAAAAGATAAAATGGGAATTTCCATTATGAGTGATTGACTTTTACTCCTTCATCTCACAGGTAAGCAAAGAAGAAACATAAAAGAAACAATGATTGATTGATCTTCAACAACAAGCAAGTGGAAGAATTGAGAAACAATGCTCAAGATATATTCTTATCTTCTAAATGATCATATCAACAAATGATTTGGTTCTATAAAAAGGTGGCGACAGACATACAAAAAAGAGATATATCATCCACGTTTTTATTTTTTATAGTGTGTGTGCTTCTTTGTTTTCACATATTAAAAATACTTACTATAAGTAGAAGTTTTCATCAAAAAAAAAGTTATAAACACAAGGATTTTACTATTATTTAAGTAATGACGAGTTAGGAAGAGTATGTTCAATTCAATGATCAACCGAATTATGAGGTATTTTTATACAACTGTATTTTATTTTATTTTTACTTTTTTTTGTAAGTTGTAACTTGTAGCGTGTGTTTCGTGTAGACAAATAATGTTCATACAAACGCATGTGAAGATTGTGAAGTGTATTTTCGATTCAACAATCAAACGAATTATAAAGTATTTTTATATAAGCGCTTTTATTTTTAAAATTGTTTTTTAGAAGTTGTAAATTGTAACATGTGTTTTGTGTAGATGAATAATGTTGATACAAACGTATATGGAGGCGATAGAAATGAAAACGAGAAATAACGTAGTTATTTCATCAATGATTCAAGTTTTCAAACTAATATAATATAAAATTTCAGTTCATTAATATATAACTGCAGTAAGGTTGTCATTTAGAAGATTGCTAGTTTTTTTATTTTTATATCATTTTCAGGTGTTTAATTCTTGCTTCTTATCTTGTAAGTGATCACATCAGCAAATGTTTTGGTTCTATAAAAAAGGATGCCTATATCATCCATGTTTTTATTTTTCTATAGTGTGTGTGGTTATCTATTTTCACATATTAAAAATATTTACTATAAGTAGAAGTTTTCATCAAAAAAAGTTATAAACACTAGGTTTTTATTATCATTTAAGTAATAGCGAGTTGGAAAGAGTATGTTTAATTCAATGATCAACCGGATATTTTTTTTATTTTTATTTTTTTGTAAGTTGTAACCTATAGCATGTGTTTCGTGTAGACAAATAACGTTCATACAAATGGATATGAAGATTTAGAAGAATATTTTAAGTTCAACAATCAAACGAATTATGAAGTATTTTTTATATAATCGCTTATATTTTTAAAATTGTTTTTTTATAAGTTGTAACTTGTAACGTGTGTTTTGTGTAGATAAATAATATTGATACAAACGTATATGAAGGCGATAGAAATGAAAACGAGAAAGAAAGTAGTTACTTCATCAATGATTCAAGTTTTTAAACCAACATGATATAAAATTTAAGTTCGCTAATATATATTTGCAGTAAGGTTATCATTTAAAAGATTGTTATTATTATATTATTTTCAGATGTTCAGTTCTCGTAAAGACTTAATAGATTGAATGTAACAAATAGAGCGTTCTCATGGTATTTTTATTATTAATATATTGATAATATAACAAAATAGGTTTAAAATAACAAAAATCTTAATATTTTTATTATCCAATTAATATATTGATAATAATATATATTCAAAATTTAATAAACAAAAGTATTAATTGCAACTTTTAAAAGAGTATAAGGGGTGAATTTAAAAATATTTAAGTTATTTAAAAAAGGAAAATTCATATTATATAAAAATATTATATATTAAAAAGTAAATGAATGGGATCACTTGATGTGAAAGAAACACCCCATGTTTGTGAGTTTAAATTCCAATATGTCTATTTAGAATTCTCCTACTTAAATGGTAAACACCATTAGTTACCGTGTAATGATTATGTGACAAGCCTTCTAAACAAAATTTTATGCCCCACAAACATCATAGCCAAATTCATCACCATCAATGTTAAATCATCTTGCCATTTTAAGAAACCTTGATATTTAAAGATTGCACTCAATATAATTGCATTATAAATATAATTGCATTATAAGTTGTATCTTTAAAATGGTTAACTGGATACAACACCTATAATAATTGTCTTATAATCTTTTTACAACTCCCTTCTATAAGTGTATATATAAGGAAAGGTTCAGGTGAGAAGGGTCTATTATTGTGAGATCATGAGACCCATTTTTTAATAAAATATTTTAATATTCTAGTGTTCAAATACAAAAATTCGTACCTATTGGATTTCGACATTTCGTATTTTGTCGTGTGTTTTTGGATAAGATGTTACTAACTAGAAGTTGGACAAAATTAAAACGACTTGTAGAAGCTTTTCCAACACAAAAATCCAGAGGTTATGAAAATTTCACAAGTAAATCATTCCACATTATATGATCTAACTTTGTGCATCAAGCAACTGTAATTTCATCCTGAATTGCTAGATCCTCAAATAAAGGTGTTTTTGGTTCCAAATCTATGAACTGATTTGATTTGTTTGCTAGATGTGCAATGCTAACTTTTCCTTCACGCTTTATATAGTCAGCAACTGCCTTCATTTCTTCATGGGAAATGTATATGTATTTTCCTCTATCATCCATCACACCAGATAACCTCCCTACATTGCCCAAAATAACACATATATTTACAAAAATGCCACTTAAGAAAAGGAAGGAAGTTGATTGCTATATCTAAGATTTGAATTCGGTGAAAAAGAAATGTGAGAGTTATCATACCCATGTCTTCCAATGAGGTGATTCGGTTGATACAGTCCTGTAGTAGAAAAGGAAGATGAAAATAAGTATCAACAATGGGAAGAAGAAAAAAGGTTAAATGCAAGAAATAGCAACGTACTTTTGTTGATTAGTTTATTTTAGTATACTACTTTTATTTGTTCCTAAAGTAGATTGCTATTTGTTGCTTTTAGCCAAAAAGAAGAATGTGTAAGAAGCACCTGAGTCCTTAGTTTGAATTCTGCAGCGAGATCTTCCAAAGGAACACATTTCTGTTTCTGCAAATAAACAATACATAACAATGGTGACTTACATTACCATTTTCATCAAACAATCAAATTTTATAAAAACTTGATCCAAAACAAAATATATATACCTTGATGTACTCCACAAAATCAAAAAGCAAGCCTTGGGTCCCATCTTGAACTTCATTTTCAGTAGTACCTTCAGCATCTACTGAAAATTCTCCTTTCCATTTCTCAAACTCTAAGGCTGCAGCTTCCTCCTCTTTCGCCTTTCTGGCCTCAGCTTCCTCTTCCTTTATCCAACAGTTCAAATTTATTTAGCAAAAAAACAAATCATGAAAAAAAAAAAAAAAAAGATGTGAAAAGTAAACGATAGAAATCAACCAGCATTCGCTCTCTTGCTTCATGTTCTTCATCCTTCCTCCTTCGTATCTCTGCGTAACGATCTTGTTTTGTATTTCTTGACTCCCTTGCAGCCTCTTCAGCCTTCAAGTTTGAAATATAACCACAATTTTACTAATTATTTTGGAATCTTTTAAGAAAAAGAATCAAGAAACATGATCTGAATAAGATCTTGGGAATAAAGAAGTTGAGGAGAGTTTTAAGAGAATATCGAAGCACCTGGCGTTGTGCTTGGCGTTCCTCTTTCTTCCTTCCTTTCTTCTTTGATGTCTTTGCATTGTAATATTCACCTTCAACAGCTTCTTCATCACTTCCATCTTCAGTTTCTGCTTCAAGCCATAATTCTTATTGCTATTGTTGTTCTTGTAATTATTGTTAAAGTGATTGAATCACAAACCTTCTACAGCTTGTGGTGGAGCAGAAGATGTGCTTGCTGCAGAAGTATTCCTTCTACGCATCCTGCTACGAGCACCAGTAGGTCGCACAACAGTTTCCCTTTGCTGAATCTGTTTATGTTTTAAGAAATTGAAAATAAGCGTTAATTCGAGAATAATTAACATGTTAAGAACACGAGAGATTGAAAAGCATAATCAAACACCACAATTGTTTGTAAACCCTAACCCGAGGTTCGTCTTGTTCGTCCTGAGACTGCGGGACCTGACGGCGTTTCCATAGGTAAAGTGGAATTAAAGCAACAATAAGAAGCATCGAAAGGATTGCAACTAACATGTCCTCCATCTTATCTGCTGAGATTAACAAGAATCAGTTCAATAATTTTCCAAACAGTTAATAAAACGAGTATGCATTTGTCTGAATTAATCAAGCCAAATATACTTCAAACACGCAATAGAGATTCTGAAATTAAAAGTTCTGAAACATAAGTAAAGCAATTGAATTCAAGAACCGCATAATCAAAGAGTTATGAAAGGGAAATGAAGTGTATTGATGATTAATTCTACAAACACGTTAGGGCTTACACACGAAATTTCTGGAAGAAAGTACCTTGATACAATCACCACAAACAAGCTATATTAGCAGTAAGTAATGAAATTGTGCAATAGTTTTGATTATGAACTTCAATAAGCTTCAATAATCGTCTCCGAATTCTGCAAAAACATGTTCGAATGAAAATAGCAATCGGATCTGTCGATCAGGGTACTATCCGGAAATTGTTGTTTGAAGGTAATTGAAACCGTATTTCGGACGGATCTTTGCCCGATTCAGTTTTGAATTCAATTTAGCAAAACTGATCCGACCGTATTGGGCCTCAATGGGCTTCTAGTATGCATATCGCCATATCGGATTCGGCATACCCAGGTCACCAGGTGCATTAATCAGAAGTTATTTCTACACGTTTTAATAAACTAATCAACCAAAAAGGTTAATCGTTTATATTGTTATGCTCTCGTGATCTTTTCGTTGTGTCTGACATACGTAGTAACTTTTTGATATGTATAAAAAAAACTAAAAATAAAAGAAAAAACCTTTTCAATTATAATCTTTTATTTAATATAAATGATTTAAACTTGTATTCGGAAATAAATCCTTATATTTAATTCAATTTATTTTAGTCATAAAAAACTAAATTATGATTCTCTTCATACATTATGGCACGTAATAACTAATAAATATTGTTTGATATGTTTGTGGAATACTCGAAATTTAAATATGGATTTTGATAGTCTTAGAGTTTAATCAAATTTGATTTTCCATGACTAGTTATATTACTATTTATTGAGTGGCTCATTTAAAACTAATTATCCATTTTAAAACCATAACACAAGTGAATTATTCAATGAATATTAACTAAACTAATCATTATAAACAAGATTGTTAATTAAAACGACAGTTACTGTGTATCGTGAAAATGAACACTTTGGGTATGTTTGGTAAAAGTAGCTGTTAGCTGGAAACGGGTAACTGGTAGCATGTAGTAGGTAGCTGGTAGCGGGAAACTATAACTTTTATTTGTTATATGAATGTTTGGCAAAAATAGCTGGAAGCTTTTGAAATATATAAAATTACATAAAAGGTGTAACATCCTAAAATTCAAGACCAAAAATTTTATTTTTAAATAGATTATAACATAAAAACCATTGATATAAAAACGTTCATAATTATATCTCATATCACAATTAATATGTCAATAATCCAAAATATGTCACAATAAAAACCATTTTGTCCAAAAGTAAAATAATTCAGAGTAGACTCCCAGGAAACTCCATGCGGAAAACATGTGTGTGTAATGCGCTGCTACACCGTCGGCTCCTTCCCCTTAGACGAAGAGGTACCTGAAACCAAAATTGAAACTGTAACCACGAAGCTTAGTGAGTTTCCCCACCATACCCATAGCACATAGTCATCGGTATCTTTTAACCGGTAACCGAGAGTTACCCTCCCCTTCGGTATCTTTCAACCGGTAACCGTGAGCTACCCTCCCCTTCAGTATCTTTCAACCGGTAACCGTGAGCTACCCTCCCTCCGGTATCTTTCAACCGGTAACCGGGAACTATCCTCCCCTTCGGTATCTTTCAACCGGTAACCGGGAAATACTCTCCCCTTCAGTATCTTTCGACCGGTATCCGGGAACTAAACTCCCTTTCGGTATCTTTCAACCGGTATCTGGGGACTATTTCACCCCTACCCCTATCACATATTACATGTCATAACATATTGGTTTCATGATAACATACATAGGCATACTGAGTCACATAATGACATATCGTAAGCATACAACTATACATGTGTGGGTTTTGTCCACTTTTTCGGTATCTTTCAGCCGGTAATCGTCTTCGGTATCTTTCAACCGATAACTAGGGGCTAGCACGCCCTACTACCACTAACACGTACTCAGCACATATATAGCAACCAGACAATCATCACAAAGATAACCATCTCACCCATAATCACCTATTGGTGGGCCAGCATAGGTGCTGTAGACCTACCTCTACTGGAAGGTAACTCACCTCGTAAGGCTAACTGCTGAAAAGTTAATCGACAGATGTCTGACTGCTGCTCCGGTGATCCTCCGGTTATAATTCCCATAAAAACAAGTAGTCAAACACTGATAACTGTTCTTAGGGTAAAATGACTATTTTACCCCTGACCAAGTCAAAGTCAAAGTCAACTTCTAGTTGACATGACTCGCCGAGTTGGGCCTCCAACTCGTAGAGTCCCTACCCTTCATATTCCCTTTTTTACGCTTCCTGAACCGGATGACGCCCTTCCAAGGCGATACCTTCAGGAGAACCACATCCCCGACCTGGAACTCCAAGTCTGAACGACGTTTGTCGGCATAGCTTTTCTGCCAACTTTGTGCAGTCTGGAGCCTACTCTTGACCTACTGAATCCTCTCTGTCGTCTTGAGTACCACTTCAGTGCTCCCCATGACCCTCTGGCCAACCTCACCCTAATATATTGGGGTCCTGCACTTTCTCCCGTATAACATCTCAAAGGGAGGACGATTAATACTCGCATGGTAGTTGTTGTTGTAGGAGAATTCAACCAATGGGAGGTAAGTGTCCCAGCTACCACCGAAGTCTAGCACACATGCCCGCAGCATATCCTCCAGAGTCTGGATGGTCCGCTAGCTCTGACCATCCGTCTGCGGGTGAAATGCGGTGCTAAAATGGAGACGAGTACCCAACTCATCGTGGAGTTTCTTCCAGAACCTAGAAGTAAACCTCACATCCCTGGCCGAAATCACTGACACTGGCACCCCGTGCCTCGCCACTACCTCTCGAATGTAGATGTCGTCCACCTTCTCGGCCGATATACTCTCCTGGATCGGTATAAAATGGGCGCTCTTGGTCAACCGATCCACAATGACCTATCAACTCCCCGCGCGGTCCTGGGAAGTTTGGTGATGAAGTCCATGGTGATATCTTCCTATTTCCACATGGGAATATCCAACGGCTGCATCTTACCATGTGGCCTCTAATGTTTAGCCTTGACCTTCCTGCAGGTCAAGCACCACTCCACATACCATGCTACGTCCCGCTTCATGTAGGGCCACCAATAGTCAAGACGAAGATCCCTATACATCTTCGTCGCCCCGGGATGGATAGAAAACATCGATTTGTGCGCCTCTTCCATCAATGTGTGATACATGCCTCCATGATAGGGGAACCACACCCTAAGGTGGAGGGTCAACAACCCTCGGCTATCATAGTAAAAAAAGGAAACCTGACCCACAATACGCTCGCCCTTCCGATGTTCCTCCTTCATAGCCTTCTGTTGGGCCTCTCGGATCTGCTCCAGTAGCGAAGCCACCACAGTCATCCTCATACATATAACCCTGATCGGCACTGCCTTGTGGCTAAGCACGTCGGCCAATACATTGGCATTCCCCGCATGCTAAAGGATCTCACAATCATAATCCTTCACCACATCTAACCACCGACGTTGCCTCATATTCAGATTCGGCTGGTCCATGAGATATGTGACAACCGTCAAATTCTGGTCAATTCAAAGTCAAATAAAGTCAACAAGTCAAACCTCTCAGCTCAACTAACCCTTGTGTACTTGGACTTACGTTCAGTATTTACTAAACAACCCACTACTCTAATAAGAAAACATGAATCGAAAAGTACGTACAACTAGATCTCTTTAACCTAAAAACTGTAGTACGTGGCGAGCCAAACTGATAAAACAATGATGCATACTCATCGGGAATGTATGATATGCGTTTTTCCTGGTGAGTATTCATATAAAATATTTATTTCCTTAATTAAAACAACAAAAGATATATTTTCATTTATATTTCCAAAAATGCGAAACTCTTCTGGGACAATATTTGAAATCTTCTGTTTTCTTCCCCAATTCGCATTCTACTATGAAATACTTCGCATCCCTTCGCATTAATCACTTTCGCATCTTCATTCTTACACCCTTCGCATCCCTTCGCATTAATCACTTTCGCATCTTCATTCTTACACCCTTCGCATCCCTTCGCATTAATCACTTTCGCATCTTCATTCTTACACCCTTCGCATCCCTTCGCATTAATCACTTTCGCATCTTCATTCTTACACCCTTCGCATCCCTTCGCATTTTAACCTAATCAATCAAATGCGATTCACAAAATTTTCATTCCAGATGCGAACACAGTTTAGCTCTTGAACTCTAAACTTGCGAAATCAAAAATTCATACGTTGAACCCATATGCGAATATTAACCCAATTGACTTCAAATTGATTCATAGATGCGAACACTCGATTGTTTTACTTTCGCAAAAATGAGCATCAACAACTCCACAATCGAGTTTCTAAATTCTTACAAACAACAATTTCATAGTCCTTGACTTCGCGTTTTTCTTCACGAATCATCCCTCAATCATCAATCCCATTGCGAATCAAAACTCATATGTTCTTGCTTTATCGATTCATCGACTACACTCATACAAATGCGAACAATACTTAATTTCAAAATCGATTGAAACTTATAGCAAAGCTAAATCCAACTTCGCATTCAAGCAGTGTTATTGATCCGCAGTCACAAGCAACCGCCCCACACCCACTCTCTGACCAGCCATGCCTCCCCACCTTACCTAGGTCACATCAACGTCTTTTCCCACTCAATTAACCCTCTTCCCGAGTTTTGAGGACTGATTATTCATCCTCTCTCCTCATTTCTCTCATTTTGCTCTCATTTCACAAGAAGATCAAACTCTTTCCTCTCTCACTTTCTCTCTCTAGAAATTCGAGATTCAAGGGCTGATCTTGAGTTTTTCCTCCACATTTGAGCTTCGAATCTTCAAGTGATTCTTCAAGTGTTCTTGGGTTGAACACTTTCCTTCTTCAACACGTATCTACTGAAATCACTCAAGGTGAGTTCATACCCCTACATTTTTTATGTTTTCTCAAGTTTTCAGGGGGGGAATACAAGTTAAAACACTAAGAACATATCTAAATTTTTCTAACAGCCTTCATTGGAAAAGTTCAACTCCATCCACGGACTGTTTTGGGCATCTTAAACATTTTTGTTTTCAAAACTGTACAAGGTGCAAATAGTTCAAGTTTTTAGCTTTAAAATGGCTACTTGCACATCTCCATACGATTTTTCTACAATTTATGGTGATTTTTACAAAACTGCCTATCATTTCAAACAACAATCCGGACCAGTCTGTGATTATGGACTTTTTCAACCAAGTTAGAGGTCATTATAAATTGTGATAAAAATTATGAGCAAACTAGACACATTTT